CTGTTGCTTCTAATACAATGAAACTGGCTGAATTGACCAATTTCCCAAAGCATTTTAGTAAAGGTGTCACGTTTCAATTCAGTTCAGAGGTGAACTCAATTGTTTTCAAACCATTTGAAGTGAAACCCTGAGGACCTTTTGCTGATGTTGGAGCATGACATGGGAGAGTCGGCCTCAAGCCACTGGTGGTGCATGACAGCTGGCCACAGGCACAAAGTGAGAATCAGCCAGCAGTTGCCTAGAATATAATTTAAATGGGTAGGCATGACTGATTCTATTCAACAAGTCATGTTTGACAGTCACCATAAATTTTAACTCCAAAAAATTGCATTTTGCCCTCCTGCAAAATCCATGAAGTGCCAGATGGATGGCTTTGCTCTTGCACACTGGATCACATCTCATACTGAGGAACCAATATCATATGTGCACATCCCAACTAATCTAATTGGACCCTTCCTTCCCAAGGAAACCCTGACTGCTGCAGATTTTCTTCGGTTCAACCAACCTTGTTATAAAAATGGGGCCTAATTGGCCCATTTCTATAGCGTTCGGGTGCAGGAGGGGGCCGTGACATTGAGAAGATGTTACAATTAATGTAACAGGTGTTGTAACAAAGGTGTTTACAGTAACATTGACATCGGGTTTTTGGGTAGTAATTGTTGGTTCAGTTGTTATTATTTACATGTCACGTGATAATATACTGTACAGAGGCCATGGCTAAAAATGGGAATTTCCCATTTCCATAACAAACCTCCAGGCCTTAAACTCATCCCTTAGTCACAAGCCACCCTCTATCAATGAGCTATCTCAGGATTGCCTCCAGAGGATGCAATGGCCTCTGCATCCTCTAATGGAAAAATCAATTGTTCAAAATTATATCAATGATGACATCCAGTTCTCTTTGGTGAACATTAGCTCTGACTACTTTCCACTTGCAATTCTCCATGTTGGGAAAGCCTTGCTGAGGCTGCATGGTGTCCAGGATCTGTGGCAAGAATGGATGATTCATGTTGCAAGGCTTGTGGCCCAGTACCCCACACAGCAGTCAGCTATTGTAGTGACCCAAAAAAGGCTCTCATCATTCCCATGGAATAGCAAGATCCAGGGGTTTCCAAAATCAATGCTAAGTGTCAGGGACTCATCTGGGGTAGAGGGGGCCCAGGTATAGTGTCTGGCGCTGAGAGTCTGGCAGGTGTCAGGGACAGCTCCGAAAGTGGCGAGGTCCCTGCGCGCGGGACTTGGTGGGACAAGTAGCGGCTGTGCGTAGCGGCGATCCCGTTGCGGGGTGAGCATCCCTGACCACTTAGTCTGAAGTGGGAAGTTGATGATTATCATTAAAAGGGAAAAGCTACGGTACTTACCTGAAGTGGGAAGTTGAGAAGAAGGCTGCTTCTTCTGTTCCCACCCCAGGCACTATTATATACATGTGGCCAGGGTCACATGGAGGAAGCCACGTCATCTCCGCACACAGCCGCACCTCCCTGGGTGTCTCTGCGGGAGATCCCGGAGGTGGCCGCTCAGTAGGCGGGAGTGTGCATGGCGTGTGCGGCGATCAGGGGGGCAGGGTCAGGTATGTAGTAGTACATGGAGAAAGGGAAATTGACCGTAGAATAGAAATAGAAATAGAGATAGAGAGAAGGGGGAAAATGGGGGAGGGGAGATGGGGAGTGGTGATGGGGTAGTGCGGTACGGCATGGGGTGCGGCGCGGGGTCAGGCGGGTGTGCCCTGACAGCAGGGTGCAGACCGGGTGTGCATACTGACAAGCTCAACATGGGACAGTAGTCCCTGGCCACTTAGACTGAAGTGGAAAGTTGTTGAGGAATACTGCACTACTTACCTGAAGTGGAAAGTTGAGAGGAAGGCTACTTCTTCGGTTCCCACTTCAGGTTCATTTATATACATGTGGCTTGGGTCACATGACAGGTGCCATGTCACCCTTGCACACAGCTGTAACCACCGAGGTGTCTCCATGGGAGATCCTGAGGGCATCCAGTGTGAGCATGTGTGCTGAGCACAGCAGGGAGTCACCTGAGGTGCCTGGGCCGGGTGTGTCATGGGTGCGCTGCAGATGGGTCAATGGTACATTGATACAAAGGAAGGTCATCCATGTGGAATAAAGAGAAAATAAAGAGGAAGTAAAAATAGGAAGAGTGAGGAAACAGAAATGAGAAGAGGGAGAGGAAGAAGGGGGAGGAGGTGAGGAGGGGTGGACAGTGGGGTACCAGGTCAGGCAGGTGTGCCCTGACACTAAGCTCCATTGGGGGTTTGATGTGTCATCTATCTACTTCCTGTCTCAATATGTCAGGGCACACCCTGACATGCCCTGCCTGACCCCTGCTCCACACTGCTTCTTCTTCCTTTCCCCTTTCTTTCTTCTTTCTTTCTTCTTTCTTTCTTCTTTCTTTCTTTCTCTCTCTTACATGGACCACCTTTCCCACTGTTCATTGTATCACCGGTGCACATGCACATTCCCCCTCCTGTACCTACCATCCCTATATCGCTGTCACCGCTGCTGTGCTCACCTTGTGCCTACAGCGGAAAGATATTGAGGACAGTTGTCAGGGCACACACCCTGACTAGCCTTGACCCGGACCTGCTACACTTCCCACATGTACCTCCTGCACCGCATGCTCTGTGTGCCACAAGATCTGGCCCTGGATCCTGCCCTCATGTTACTTCCAGGTATCCCCGGAAGTTTTTGCCATATTGGGGCCACTGTGGGAAAGTGAGAAGTTAACCTTCTTCTCACTTTCTTACCCACAGTGTTATGCCCTGAGATGGGCTGTGTTTACAGGTCAGACTGTGACTGTGGACTGTAGAGAGGGGTCATGGGGACCTGGGGTCCATCCCCTGACAACAGTCATACAGAAGGATGGAAGTATGTTCTTGGCAAGCATGAGATGGGTTCAAAGATTTCTTAAGGATGAGATGAACTGGTTGATGTGATGAGCAACACATGCATCCCAGACAATTCTACATCGACATATGAGCAAAAGGGGTCTGAACAAGTCTCAACAGTTGGCCATGATGAAAAGCAAGCTTTCACACTCAATGTGGCTGTCTCTGCCAGTGGCAACCTTTTGCCATTTCAGGCCATTTTTAAAGGGAAAACTACAGCCAGCCTCCCATCGCCAAATTCCCCATGTTATCATGAATCAGCTTTGTCTTCGATGTTTCCTGAACTGACACATATTGGGCTAACATTGAGACAATGAAGTCCTTTGTCAAGACTATCCTAGTCCCTTATTTCCAAGCTGAAAAGACTCAATTCTCACTCAACCCACTGCAAGAGTGTATCTGGCAATTGGACATCTGGCTGGTTCACACTTCACTCAAGTTCCATACCTGGATATAGGACAACTACCCCTGGATCATCCTTGATTACATTACAGGTGGTTGTATGGGCCTTTGGCAACCTTGTGATGTTGGGATTCAATGCACACTCAAACTTGCTGTGAAACACTCACAACAGACAGCTGCCATCATGAGCCAAGCGATGTAAGGATTGATACAAGGCTTGGGGCACTCCGGGACCGTGTCCCTTCCACATTGGTTCACGCATTTAAAGCTATGAATATGCCAAACAGAGTCCAAAAGGTAAGTGTCAGGGAGCGACCCGGGGTCGAGAGCGCCTGGATGTGTCACCCAGCACTGAGGACCTGATAGGGTGTAGCACAGGTGCGCATACTAACGGACCTGGCACAAAAGGGCGTCCCTGGCCACTTAGGCTGTGTTTATGTACATGCAGTTGAAGGTCACGTGGGGAGTGCCACATCATCTACGCGCACAGCTGTCATATCCATACAATCCCGACCTCCACTCCGGGCTCCTGGAACTCCGAAACTGACTCCGGAGCCCTACTTCCCTTCCGTCACCTTCTCCTTGCCGACTCCCAAGAGGTTATCCCACCTCTGGCTCTGACACCACCTTTGGTCCGACTCTGGGACATCCTAGTTCCGACCTCAACCTTGACACCTTCCAGACAAGCACGCAACACCTATGCTCCCGACTCCGGACCTCCACTCCGGAATCCTGTTTGCATCCCCATCTCTGGAACCTCCGGTCTTAGCTCCGACCTCGGACTTTGACCCCACCTCTGCTTATGCCCATTGTATTGGTTAGCTCATTCCATTTAATTATGTTTGCCAATATTCCGGAGTTTAACTTCCAAGTTCGGACTTTCCGGACTTATGTCGGACCTTGCAACTATTGCATTGCTCCATTCAATTCCGCTATTCTCCCTCATTCCTATTTGGGCTGCTGCTTCCTTTCTATTCAGTCAGCTAGCCATTCCCGACTCCCATCCTCCTTCCTTCCTCCTTGGGCCTTGGCCCTTCACTCCTCCTTTGGGAAACACCATTGAGTCAAACCCTTGACCCTCGGTGTTGTTCCTCTTTCCAGCTCCCTTTGTCTCCTTTCGGAGTACCCTCGCTCCTTTTGATTCTGGACCCCTCCTTATATACAATGTACATAGTAACTTGTAACCTCAGTCCGAAATCGACCTGAATTCCCCCCCAAGAGACTTTCCCTCTGCTAGATCCGAAATTAGGGACCCCTAGGACAACCAGCAATGGCACAGCACTCCGCCTGAGTCGCTGAGGCCGAGGTCCTTCCACGCTAAGTCTCCGATTCCACTCCAGAGTCGTCCGAATCTGCCTGGTTCTAACAACAGCTGTATCTGCCCGGGTATCTCTGTAAGAGATCTCAGGAGTGTCCGGTGTGTAGGGCATCACCCGGTGTGCCTGGGTCCAGGTGTGTTGCACAGCCTGGTTAATGGTACATCGAGCAAGGAAGTCGTCCATGTAGTAGAAAAGGAAAGAAGGAAGAAGAAGGGAAAGGAAGAAGGAGAGAGGAAGAAGGAGAGAGGAAGGAGAGAGGAGGGAGGAGAGAAGGGAGGAGGGAGGAGAGAAGGGAGGAGGGAGGAGAGAAGGGAGGAGGGAGGAGAGAAGGGAGGAGGGAGGAGAGAAGGGAGGAGGGAGGAGAGAAGGGAGGAGGGAGGATGGGGGCACTGGGTGAGGGTAGTGGGATCGGGTGGGGTCAGACTGGGTGGAGTGGGGTCAGGTGGGCGTGCCCTGACAGTAAGTTGCAGATTAAAAATTCATTTGGACTGATCACTGATACTTAGCATTCAGGCCTTTGAGTTATGCCATTCAGGAGAATTCAATCTTTCCCAATCTAGCCTGACCAGCAGCCCACTCTGCCTGCTCCTCAACAATATCCAGCATGATGATCCTGAGCTTGCTGCTGCAATCACCTCACCACACAAGTGTCCCCACAATCCTAACATGGTTTTCCCTGAAAAAGAGTTTACAGACACCCCAGAAGATGATGCTGATATCTCCCTTGAAGATGTTTTTGAGCATTTGGATGGTGATGTAGTCCCTGAAGGTCTTACCACTGAGCCGAATGGTGGTTTGCAATTGGCATCAACTTTGGCTGAAGGAGTTGGAGCGATGAAGACCTTGGCAAGACTTCCCCTCTTTCAAACTCCACAGAGGAATTTGGCTGAGGAAAATGTGTCAGACATGCATGCAATCTGGAGGAGAAGATGGCGATTTTTTACCTTTGATTATTATCCTTTTTTGGAAAACATTTGAAATTATAACTGCTGGCTCTTTACTGCGTGATGAGGGGACCCCCAGCCTCAAAGCCTGTGTGACATGTGACAAGGTGGGCTGCAAGGCCTGTGTGACGCATGACAGGTTCTTGGTCATGTGGGTACAGTAAAGTGGTTGTGTAACAACCCACTGGCCTCAGCACACTGTCCTCCAACAGCTTGGCAGGTGGCTCTCCTGCTGTGCATTGCCCAAATATCAACACCAATAAATATCAGCATACCTGGCTGCTCAAAGTTGTAATGCATTATAGGGTAAAAACACCAACTAGTTTGGGTTGGGGGGGACCCTCAGGCCCCTCTCAAAATGCCCTCTATTGTAAACAACTTTGAAAATACTGAAATAACACAGGCTAAACCACACAACATGTATCATTGGGTTGTTTCACCATTCTGATTTGAACCATTTGAGTGACATTGTATTTTCAAGCTTGCATCAAAAGATGACATGATAATTTTGTGCAAGATTTGATGATGGGTCAGTATACAATGATGTTGGAATATTTTGAGGGATGTTGTATTATCAAGTGCACATGAAAATACGATATTAGCATCAGGGATGATATTATATATATATATTTAACCAACTAGTTAGGACTTGAGTGATGTCAGATTTTGGAGCATGCAAAAAACAATGACACTGTCAGGGTCCGGCCCTCGTTCCGTGACAGGCCCAGGGAGATCCTCCTAGTTGCTGGGGTGTCTAGTCCCAGTCCGAGATCCTCAAACTCACTGAGGGGGCTAGCCCCAGCCTTCACAGGAAATGAGTTGAGAAGAAGGGTAACCTTCTCAACCTCCTGTGAAGCCGCTACAAATGGAAGTCAGGAACTATACAGTTTTCAGCTCTTTGCCGACTTTCCATAATTGGCACCCCCCCGTGGCTGTGATGGTTTCTGGGCAAGTAACTCGCCCAGAATGTTCCCACGGGTCTGCATGCATGCGGGATTGTGGAACAGTGAAGGGAAAAATAGGAGAAAATGGGGGAAGGGTACCTGAGGGTGTGTGGGGTCAGGGGCTGTGCCCTGACAGACACACAGAACTATGACATTTGTGAGTTTTGGGAGAAGTCCAATATTTTGAGTGATGTTGTATTTTCAAGCTCACATGGAACTGCAACATTTGTGAGTTTTGGGAGAAGTCCAATATTTTGAGTGATGTTGTATTTTCAGGCTCACATGGAACTACAACAATGGGAAATTGGGTTATGTTGTATTTCTGAGCATGCACAAAAATATGATAAGTACATAAGAAATGAGCATGAATATAATTACTGTTGGAGAACTGTGTGCTATGGGAGTGGAGCGAGCATTCTGTACAGCCACATTCCCACAGCTGCTTGTGATTCAGATTCTCCTGGATCCTACAGTCTGACCTACTCAGTTGGACCATGTGACTACTCAGTCACAAGACTTCCTTTTTCTACAATTTCAGACTTATCCATGCTGTCATATCCCGGAATCCCGACCCTGCACACTCCCACCACATCACACCTTCCTAACAACTTCACCATCCCCTACACCATGCCTCCCCACTCTCCAAGTCACCTTCCCTCCTGACTGTCTCAGCTCCGGTCTGGTTGCAGCACACCGAACCTTGGCCACTCCCATCCCGGAACCTCGGTCCCGAGTCGGGACATTCGGAGACCCCGGATTTGCTCCGATACCCCGATGGACCTCCGATATCCCGTGACATGCCCTTAAAACCTTCCTCCACCCATTTCATTTATTTGAGTCACCTAACATCCTTCGGATACGCAACTCCGCTTTCGGAGCTACCCGCATCCTTCGGTGATCTCCCTCACGTTATCATTTATTAGTCACCTTCCATTCTTAGCACGACTACCTTTTTACTACCATCCAGTCGGCTAACCCCCTTTGTCCATTTGTCTTCCACATTCATTTTCCGGCCTTCAACTCCACCCTCCTTGCCCCGACACCTCGGTTCCCCGTTCTAATATCGTTCGGGACCTTTCATTACCTTTCGGTACCTCTCGGTATCATTCGGTACCTTTCGGTGTTTTCCCATTTGTCGGTTCGGACTTTGACTAGGTCCTCCCTGTCCCCCTTATAAATACCCGTAGATTAGAACCTGTAGTTCCTCAGTTCTAATCTCGACTAAAATGCCACCCAAAGTCCCTCTGAGTGATTCCCATCCCCGTTCTACAAGACACCTCAGACATAAGAAATACAAGGACTAACTGAGACGTAACTGTTAGAACTTGCGGATTCGGACGACTCCGGAATGGAATCGGAGACTTAGCATGGAAGGACCTTGGCCTCAGCGACTCAGGCGGAGCGCTGTGCCATTGCTGGTTGTCCTAGGGGTCCCTAATTTCGGATCTAGCAGAGGGAAAGTCTCTTGGGGGCATTTCAGGTCGATTTCGGACTGAGGTTACAAGTTACTAGGTACATTGTATATAAGGAGGGGTCCGGAATCAAAAGGAACAAGGGTAGGACAAAAGGAGACAAAGGGAGATGGAAAGAGGAACAACACCGAGGGTCAAGTGTTTGACTCAATGGTGTTTCCCAAAGGAGGAATGAAGGGCCAAGGCCCAAGAAGGAAGGAAGGAGGATGGGAGTCGGGAATGGCTAGCTGACTGAATAGAAAGGAAGCAGCAGCCCAAATAGGAATGAGGGAGAATAGCGGAATTGAAATGGACAATGCAATAGTTGCAAGGTCCGGAGTAAGTCCGGAAAGTCCGAACTCGGAGGTTAAACTCCGGAATATTGGCAAAGGTAATTAAATGGAATGGGCTAACCAATACAATGGGTATAAGCGGAGGTGGGGTCAAAGTCCGAGGTCGGAGCTAAGACCGGAGGTTCCGGAGACGAGACATGAACGGGATACCGGAGCGGAGGTCTGGAGTCGGGAGCATAGGTTTTGCGTACTCATCTGGAAGGTGTCGAGGTTGGGGTCGGAACCGGAATGTTCCGGAGTCGGACCGAAGGTGGTGTCCAAGCCGGAGGTGGGATAACCTCTTGGGAGTCGGCAAGGAGAAGGTGATGGAAGGGAAGTAGGACTCCGGAAGTCGGAGTTCGGAGTTCCGGGAGCCCGGAGCGGAGGTCGGGATTGTATGGATATGACAGTAACGGAGGCACAGCGCTCCCTCCGAGTCGCTGAGGCTGCGTCCTTCTTAGAGCCTCTTGTACCATCCAGCAGAACCGGGCTCCCTGAGAAGCTTCGGTTCACTACTGGAGCCCTCGGACCCCCCTCTAGTTGAGCCCCGCCTGCATTCGGACTCACGCATTTATCCCCTCTCCCACAACCCGGGTTTTTAACACATGCTGGGCCACTGATACATCATTCATTCATTGAATTATTTCCTTTTTCCTCAGTTCTCATGCTTGAGACTGAGGTCAGTAATACTTCTCATCCCTTTTACTCTGTAACTTAATATGTATATTGCCATTAGCTAGTGCTTATAGGTAATACAATTAAAGTTCTCATGCATATAGCTTGAGACTGGGCTAGCGCTTATAGATCAATTATCATGCATTTCTTCAATTACAACCCATAAGTTGGCTCACATCATATTTCCAAGCACACACAGGACAACAACAATTCAAGCAAACTGAGAGAGAGAGACAAGGGAAAAATTAAGGCCCCCAAGCCCCCCACAATGTGGCTGGAAAAGAGTAATCAAGAAAAGAATGACAGACAATCATGTAGATCATGTGTCCATGGACAAGATATGTGGGATGTTGACCTTTCTCCTAATATGAATTCAGGGTGTGTTGGGCATGCAAATTTTGACTTGGCACTGTAACGGGTCTATCACCTAGACTTGAGACAGAGAAAAGGGGGAGGGTGGTAGTGATTGTGTATGTGGTTGGGAGGTCTGGGTTTTGGTCTTGGGGCGCTACTGGGTCTACTAGAGCCTCAACTAAACACTCACCTACATCTCTTGTGGACGTCAAGGCCAAGGATTATGAGTAGAGGGGTGTTAGATGTTAGCAACAAGCTCAGGGGGGGCATTGGGGTCGTGGATGGCATCTTTGCCACTTGGATGTAACTACTTTTTATTCCTTCATGGGTCTATTCAGTACTAACTTGTTATGTACAAGGTATTTTCTATTTTATATGAACTGGAAATGAAATGAATGGAATGGGGAAATTCAAATGGGCTGATAGGCAACCGTAAATAAAGAATGTCCGATTAGGAACAGAGAAACAATAAAAGAAATATGAATGAATGGGGAAATTGTGACAATGGGTCCGAAACGGAAATTGTATACAGTTTTCCTGTCTTCTGGTGAAAGAAAACAATACTAATCAGGAAATATCTCTACCCTACAGAACAAGTGCCTCTGCTTGATGACCAGGGCCTTCCATACTCCAAACATAAACATTACGGAGATAGAAGCTTCCATCCCCCCCATCAACCTATGCCTCGAATACAGGTTAAAGATGGAAACAACTTGCCTCTCATGTCTCCCAGAGGACCACCCAAACCCATGGCAAAGAAGGTGGATGTTAGAACTGGGCGAGGGCAGACGATTCCAGAGGGGAACCAGAGACTTAGCAAGGAGGTGTCATATCTGTACATACCCAATCCCAATCCAACTCCCGGACCCCCATCTTCATCACCTCCAGAGTCCTACCCTATCTCTGTCCACTCTGATACTCACCTCGGACTGAACATCACTCCTCTCACCATCTTACTCCTCTTACTCCTCTTACTCCTCACGACACCTCCACCCTTCCATCACTCTCCTACCCTACTTCCGTCTGCTCCAATACTCACCTTTGGACCTGACACCTTTCCCCTCCTCCACACCTCTCCCCACACCTCTCTTCTCTCTCTTCCCTCTGACCCTCTTCCACCAAACCTCCGGCAAGTTACGACCTTCCACTGCTGTCCCGTACCCTGTACTCAGACACCGCCCGTACCTTCACTCCAAGATTCCGTCATAGTTCCGACCTCAGACTTTGACTCCACCTTGGCTTAAGTCCATTGCATTGGTGACCTCATACTATGTAAAC